GACAAGATTTCAGTATCTATCTATCTATCTATCTATCTATCTATCTATCTATCTATCTATCTATCTATCATCTATCTACCACCACCCTCTACTACCTACTAAGTAAAATGAAAGTGTTTCATAGACCATGAAAGCAAAAAACACATTACAGTAATTTTCTTCTGGGACAATATCCAGGTGAAACCATATATAAACGGGATGAGTACCAAAGAATAAGAGGAGAACATGCCAGTCCTTTGTAGTTCAGTGCACATGGTTCACTCTGACACTTGTTTAAAAAGTAGATCCTCCGGCCCTGCTATTGAATTTTAATTCTCGTTGGGGGGAAACCAAGTTTCTGCTTTTAAAACTAGCTCTGCTCTTTATCCAGTGCTCTAAACCGCATAATTCATTGAGGAAACTGACTAACAAGGAACAAATGGTATTCTTCAAAAGATTCTTTCAAGCAAAAAAAAACAAACCGATTCATTCCTTCTAGACTACGTTTCCAGGCTTCATCATTGACCTCAAACCAAAGAGAATACCAAATCCAGTCCAAATTCACCTCCATCGAGTGGATGCTGACTCATAGCGGCCCTGGAGAGCATAGCACGTCCGGTGTCCCGTGGGTTCCAGGGCTGTGCGTTTCCACTCCAGTAGAAAGACTCACTTTTCTCCCAGGAGTGGCTGGTGGTTTTGAATGGCTGACCTTGGAGTCATTTTATTCACTTACATCTGTCGGTCTGACTACCTGTCCTATCAGAGGAACCCTGGTGGGGTAGGGATTAGGAATTGGTCTGCAAACTGCAAGGTTTATGGTTCAAAACCACCAGGGGTAGCTCTACCCTGTTCTTTAGGGTCACTATGGGATGACATCAACTTGATGGCAGTGAACTTTTTTTAACCTATCCTATCCAGCTACCCATTCACTCATTGATTTATTTATCATTGCGTCCACCAATATTTATTGAGCACTTACCACATGCTAGCTGCCATTTTAGGTCTTTCTTACTGCTTTGCAATAAGTTCTAAATCGCTAAAGTAGAAGTCACAAATTGAAATGTCTAGGATGCATTAGGGTATGGAAATAAGTGAAGAGGGGCTCTGGTGGATTGATGTCTAAAAAAAGAAGTTAAAACTCAGCTTTAGGAATTCAAGGCATACAGGCATAGTTTTTCCCCAATTTCTGATATCTCAAGGGAACCCACACAGCTAGCAAGTAATTTGAATTTTTTTACATGAACTAAACACAATGTATTGCTGTTCAGATACTTAAGAGATCCACCCTCACGCACAACCATCTAGCAACCTCTGCTCTAGACCCTGATGATGTAATCTCTAGTTGTACGAATTCTTTAATATCGACACTAATAGATTCCAGGTGAATTCACAGTTAAGTAATTGGACTTTCAGAGCATATTCTTATTGGATTGATCATTTAATGACAAAATAAACCAGTAACTACCAGATGTCTTCTCCTCTACGGTTAGAAAGTAAAGCACACATGAGGACAGGCAGATCCTTATTCAGGAACAGAGGTACATACAGCTCTGTTGCTCCCTTCCTCACGGCCCTCTCTCACCCCATCCGTAAGACGGCAGGGGAAGGAGCCACGTCGTGGTCATCATTTTTGTATGCTCACCAGTCAGTGCCAGGCTTAGTTCCCTGCAATACTCATGCTTGATAAGTATTTGCTGAGTAGAATTTGAATCCATATATGTTCTTCAATGAAAAAAAAAAAACTGGCATGAAAAATGATATTGCTGGATTATTCCCATTCAATTAATTATTTTTTAATCTTTAAGGCCATGTCTACACTATACCAACATAACCATCCATGCTAGTCAACTTATTGGAAAGCAAAAATCCAGACAAATCAGATTTGGAATTTTACAGAGATTATCAAGTCTTGCTCTAATTCTGTTTATTTTAGAGACCAGTAAGAAAGGCAAAAATGGAACCAGCACTGCACAACACATTTGGATACTTTCTTAAAAATGTGAGGTCACTTTAATAACAAAATATGATTTATGAGATTCATTTCTTTAGCATAACAACCATTATAGAGGAGAAATAGTGCCTACTCCTAATTTACTGAAAGTCTCAGATACCAGGGACCGTCAAAAAAGTTTTGGGAAAAATGGAATTATCTTTTAAATCCAATTCCCACAAACTTTTTGAAGGCTCCTTATATGTCCTTAAGACCTAGAAAGGCTCCTTCTATGTCCTTAAAACATAGAAAGCCCTGCTGACAGAATAAATAGATAAATAAATACCACTACCCCCATAAAATCCTCCCTGAAACAATTTTTTAAATATCTTAAAACAAATATTTGTATTTAAAAAAATGTAGAGACTTCTAGCAAGGATTATACCATCATACAAATAACTGAGAAAAGCCTCACTCCACATCACCTGCAATTTTCATTCTTCACATTGATCATGAGACTCATAAAATTTATGGGGGGGAATTTGAAAAAAAGAACCTTCTTAAGAAAACAAGGCCCCTTCACTGGATATCCCCTTACAGAAGGGTCGCGGGGAGGAGACGAGCTAGTCAGGGTGCAATGTAGCAACGATGAAACATACAACTTTCCTCTAGTTCCTAATGCTTCCTTCCCCCTGCCCGCCACTATCATGATCCTAATTCTACCTTACAAATCTGGCTAGACCAGAAGATGTACACTGGTATAGATAGCAACTGGAAACACAGGGAATCCAGGGCGGATGATCCCTTCAGGACCAGTGGTGTGAGTGGCCATACTAGGAGGGTGGAGGGACAGAGTGGTGGAGAGGGGGAACCAATTACAAGGATCTACATAAAACCTCCTCCCTGGGGGACAGACAACAGAAAAGTGGGGGAAAGGAGATGTCATACAGTGCAAGATATGACAAAATAATAATTTATAAATTATCAAGGGTTCATGAGGTAGCGGGGAGTGGTGAGGGAGGGGAAAAACGGGGAGCTGATGCCAGGGGCTTGGGTGGAGAGGAAATGTTTTGAGAATGATGAGGGCAATGATTGTACAAATGTGCTTTACACAATTGATGTATGTATGGATTGTGATAAGAGTTGTATGAGCCCTAATAAAATGATTTTTTTTAAGTAAAAGAAAACAAGGCCCGTAAATGTTAATACTTGGTGGATGATGATGAAGTCTTGTTTAACTGCGTGTAATCAGTAGGATGCACATATTTCTTACATTTCACACATTCATTTAGACTTGAAACACTGACCTACATGCTAATTTAACTGAAAACCCATTCTACCTAGTAACACACATTATGAGTCCTTTTCTTTGAATTTTCCACACACAAAAATAAACCATTGCATTCTGGCTCCGTAAGATTTTTTTATCTTTTCTCCCAGAAATTTCTGAAGGCTCACCTATTTTTGTGAATCATTCAGTTTCATTCAACAAACACACTAGTGGGTCAAACACACTATCAAATGTAATTAGCTCATCCAGAAAGTTCTGTTACATGGTTTCTGCTTTTACCAATTTTTAGAATGCTCAGAATTGTTCTCAAATAACCAACACTTCTATGACTAAAAGCAAACCTGCTTAAACTTCTGCAAAGTATTCTAATCATGTGGCTGATTTCAGGTTCTGTTGATGCCATTGAAAGACACAATCAAATACTTAACAAGTGGTTACTTTTTCGATTTAGGTTCCTGCAAATCTCAGGAATGAACTAAAAGTTCCATCTGAGCTAAGTCCAGTGATAAAGCTAAACCGTCTGAGAAATTTTTCTTAAAAAAAATAAGAGAATTAACATTGGGTTGAAGTGTTACTACATGAGCCAGTTAAATGTCCTGACCCTGCTGGAATTGCCCTATAAACGGAAAGCTGTCGCACCCCATTAAAGAACCAGAGTCGAAGAAGAGGTCTTTGTACAGGTTGAAATGTGAGACTAGGGGGGATAACACATCTCTAAGTCTAACTTGCAGAACTTTCACTTGACTTCCTGGATTCCAGTCAGGCTCCACGATTGCCGCAAAGCAGGATAATGTTCAAGAAGGACTCAGGAAGATAAAGAAAGACAAACGAATGAAGCATCAAAGTTGAGAGAGAACTTTTTTATTCCAGAAACATTTGCTTAAAGTTGCAGTAGGGTCTGACAATTGAGTGCTATGGCGCTCCGAGAACATCACTGGACAAACCCCCTCCGCATCTCCCAGACTCTCCTTTGCTGCACTCTGGGTTCAAGTGGCTAGTCTTCATCTGGACACTCAGGCCACTTCTGACTGCAAAGCTACACCAGTCGTGGCTGTGAGGACGGAGAAATGAGCGACTGTCCCTGACTGTCCCTATGTAAAGCACTTGGTAGGAACTTGAAACTGACTGAGAAGTGTAACACTCACTTGAGAGGTTCGAAACGGTGACCGTAAAGACAAATGTTTCTTTTACGGTGCAAGAAACGCAATGGTCTGGAGGTACAGAGCAAACAAGGAAGGCTCTCTGATCGTAAGCTGCTTGAGTTACTCAATTGAAACAAAAATCATTTTGGTGCCCTAATTTCAAGGAACCTTTCTAATTCCCCGTGATTAATAATTCTATGAATAGTTTGCCTCCTGAGGATTTGATGTCCTAGTTCCAAAAGTAAAACCAAGCTGAGGAAATGCCTACCCCCAACACCATGCTCGATGATTTCTCCCAGAGACATTTGCTTAAAGTTGCTGTAGGATTGGACACTTTAATGCCACGGAAGCTCAAAGGATAGCACTTTGACAAATCCCCCCAGTCACCCCCCACCACCACCACACACACACACACACACCCCACAGGCTCTCTCCTTTGCTGCACTCTAGCTTCAAGTGGCTAGCGTTCCATCCGGGCACTAAGGCCATTTCTGACTGCGAACCAAGTCATTTTTGCCCAGCAATAAACAAAACAGAAATCTGTGTCTGTGTATCTTGGTTACTTTTTTTTTTTTAACTCAAATGAAACACCAGCTTGAACAGGCAGAGGCCAGCCTCGAGTAGCCTGCCTGTCCAGCCTGCACCTGCCGCCCTTTACCTGTTTGCAAGGTCACAGTCCTCTCTTCTCCGTCCAGAGACACAATCCTGAGGTGATAGATGGTTCCCGCTTGTAAATCCTTGGGGTTGCATTCGTAGGTGGTGTTGTCGATCTGCACTGGGTAGCACCAAGCAGTGCCTGAAGTGTCACTGTTATAGATGAGGCTAAAGTTACAGGGTGACCCCAAAGTTCTCCACTGGAGCGACATGGCATGGCTGGAGACCCTGGGCTCCATCAGGGTGAAGTTGCATCTGCCTGGCTCCCCTAGTCCAGTCTGCAAAGGAACCAGAGACAACAGCTGAGGCTGGCGGTCCGTCTGCTCAGGGACGTGTCCAACACAAGCGTCCTAAGCTCGCCCCCCATGTCCCTACCCCTGCAGCAGGAGAAAAGGCTGGAGCCCAAGAAGACGGCAGGTGACAACTTTCCCCCCAGCTGCTTTCCCGCGGCAACAGCTGGCTGGAGATCCGTGTTGGCTTTTTGTCCTGGTTGGGGAGCCTCCAGAGGGTCGTTCCCAGGGGAGAGGAGGAGTTCTGACCACCAAATGACAACCCCGGGGGCCGGGAAGTGGAGGGGGCATTTGGTTCTCGTCCTCCACGGGGAGGTGACACACCAGTCCAGGACCCCTTCTGGGCCCACTCACCTGCAGCAGGCTCAGTGCGGTCCACAAGGCCAACTCAGCTCCATGGCTCAGCATTGCGCTTGGGGTCACGACTCAGACTAAAGAGTAGGGGTCCGGACGCCCAGCAGCCCCCCGAGGGGGTGGGGGCACCAACGCGGCGCTGGAGGG